CCTCTCTCTCCAAAAGTATTGCCGTTACAATTCATCACCGTAGCAAAATTGCAGTTTACAAAGTAGCAACGGGAATAATCTTGAGGTTGGGGGGGGTCACCACAGCAGGAGGGAACTGTGTTAAAAGGTTGCAGCATTAGGAGGGTTGGGAACCACTGGTCTAGTTAAGTGACTTGGCAGGCACCCCCTAGCCCTTGGTGGCTTTAAGGGGAAAGTGTTGTGCGTGTTCCTAGTTTTTCAAAGGGAGCACAAGGAGATTGGCTTGCAGAGGCATGGGTAAAGCAGGCGTTACCTAAAGCTTGAGTGGTTTCTGTTCACTGTTTTAAGTCAGAGCCTGTGCTTATAGCCTGCCTGTATCCTCCCACACCGGGTTAGGCTGAGTGCAGGTGTGAGCCCAGCCCTGGCATGTACACAGGCGTGTATGTATTTAATTCAGCTCGATGGCCAGCAGAATGGTATTTTTAGCTTTAAAACAAAAATACATCTTTTTTTTTTTTTTTTTTTTTGGTGGTCTAGCATCCGCTTCCAATGACAGACGAAACACGATGCTATCTGATCGCACATGAGAACAGCTGGGAGAGTGACATGCCAGTTGCTGGGGCTTCCTGTCCTCCGCGTTAACACTTCTTCCATCGTTTTTCTGTTTTGTTTCTTGAGGCAGGGTCTGACGTAGCCCTAGCTGGCCAGGAACTCATATAGCCTAGAGTAGACCCGAATTTTTGAAGAACCTTCGGCCCTCGCTTCTGGATGGCTGAGATCAGTCCAGAATACCCTGCCGTGGCACATCTCCTACCCCTCAACTGTATGCGTGAGAAGGAAAGGCTTGAAGAACTTCAGCCAAGGGCAGGATGCTGACTGGAGTCTAGATTTTAGAAAAAGTATCTTGATTCATGGCTGCGTAAAGAATGGAGATCCAGTAGCACCTTCACCCCATAGGAAAACCAAGTGGCTTTTCTTAGGTTTCTTGGGTTTTAGGATGTTAGGGTCTCCATCACATAGAAAAACAAATAGGGTTGAGAGAGTCGGGGGAGGGTGGGAGGAGAGTCAGTCGTGGTGGTACACATCTGTCATCCTAGCACTTGGGAAGAATCAGGGGTTCAAGACCAGCCCCTACTGTATAGCAAGTTCAAGGCCACATTGGGCTACCTGTGATCTTGTCTAGAGGAAAAGGAAGAGGAATAGGGAGCGGGAGGAGGAAGACAGACAGTGAATAACACATGCAGGAGTTTGTGGGGTGTGTGTTTGGAGAGGGGAGAGATGAGATAAATAAGTAATATAATGAAATAAATAAAATGCATGGTGGTTAGTCTGGCAACTTGACACACTCTAGAATGTATCTTGGAAAGAGTCTCAGTGGGGGTTGTAGAAGCTGGCCTGTAGATATATCCGTGGGGAATTGTGTTGAGGCGGGAAGACCCAGCCCACTGTGGGCAGTACCATTCCCTGGGCTTGGCTCTTGGACTATGTAGAGAGGAGAAAGTAAACTGAACGTAAGCGTCCAGGCATTCTTCACTCTGCTCTTGATGGTGACTGTGGTGTGATCAGCTGCTTCAAGTTCTTCTATGATGTCCCCCTCAAAGACCGGCTGTCACCTGGAACTGTGAGCTGAAATGAGCCCTTTCTCTCCTAAGCTGCAGGGTTTTTGTTTGTTTGTTTGTTTTGTTTTGTTTTGTTTTTCTGGGTGTTTTCTCACAACAACAAGAAATGAAGGTAGGACAGTGGAAAACTGAAATCTAGAGAGAGTAGCCTTGTGAATCTAAGCCTTCCTCTTTCTGTGGTTCTGGGTTTGATGGCCTGTAAGGTCCTTTAGATGTGTAGGTTCTTTTGTTTGGTTGGTTGGTTGGGTTTTTGTTTTTTTCAAGACAGGGTTTCTCTGTGTAGCTTTGCGCCTTTTCTGGAACTCACTTGGTAGCCTAGGCTGGCCTCGAACTCACAGAGATCCGCCTGGCTCTGCCTCCCGAGTGCTGGGATTAAAGGCGTGCGCCGCCACCACTGCCCGGCCGATGTATAGGTTCTTGCCAGTTATAAGCAAAAAAACGCAGAACACTGTGTCATAACAACACTGGGCATGTACTTGGAAAGGAACAGGGAACCTCACTGACCACGTGAGGAGCTTGGTATAGACACCCATAGCCTCATCAGAGGAGACAGCCATAAGGAGCACAGGGAAAACCACTGCAATTCTGTGGATGGCCCTTAAGCCACCTAACTGCTAGTGCTCAGTTGATCTGTTTGAATATGGAGTCTTGGTGGCATAGAACTGGCTTGATGTTCTGAACAGATGCAACATTGATTTGTGAGCTAGGGCTGGGAGATCCGTGACTGAGCAGTGTCAGAAACTGCAGCGTATTGAATAAGGGACAGCACTATGAAAGTGGTATCAGGTCAGGTGATGGTGGCGCACGCCTTTAGTCCCAGTACTCAGGAGGCAGAGCCAGGCGGATCTCTGTGAGTTCGAGGCCAGACTGGTCTACAGAGCGAGATCCAGGACAGGCACCAAAACTACACAGAGAAACCCTGTCTCAAAAACAAACAAACGAACAAACAAAAGTGGTATCAGGGTCCAGAGAGATAGCTCAGTGGTTAGGAGCACTGACTGTTCTTCCAGTAGACCCAGATTCAATTCCCAGCATCCATATGGTGGCTCACAAACATCTCTAACTCCAATTACAGAGATCTGATGCCCTCTTCCCTGAATTCTACATGTACTGTATGCACATGGTACTCAGACATATATGCAGATGAAGCATTCATGCACATAAAATAAAAATAAATAATTTTTTTAAAATAGCATCAGATGACCAGGCACAGTAGTGTACGCCTTTTAATCCCAGCACTCAGGATGAAGAGGCAGGTGGATCTGTGATTTCCAGGCCAGCCTGGTCTACAGAGCAAGTTCCAGGACAAGTTCCAAAGCTACACAGAGAAACCATGTCTCAAAAAAAAAAAAGAACTTAGAGGGCATTTGATCACTAAGAGCCCATATCAAATCCTCCACATCTTCTGACGCACAAAGGAGTGGCAGGTCACAATCTCAGGTCACACAAACACCAGAAGCCCAGTGAGACAGAGCAAGGCTAATAGGCCAGGCCATCGCCCCCAAGACCAAAACTCAACAGAGACGATCACTTGTACAAATGGGAACTCACACCTGATTGTCCAACCCACAGAAGAATTCTAATAGCTCCCCTGCTTCACTGTCTTCCTCCTGCAATCAGCTACCCCAGCCACAGTCAGGGTCTCCCTGCACCCATGGATTCCCAATGGACAGAATTTCTAATGGTTCACATTGAGACGGAGCAGTAGCCAAGTCAGCCTGTGGGGAAAATGCCTTCAGTGGAGTATTTTAAATCTCTTGGCTGTTCTGTTGCTCACTCAACGGCAAGCCCAACCATCAGCCCTGAGACTAAGGGGTTTGATGAAAAGCCACTCGGCTTTTGGGAATTATGGGTCTCAGTTACGCCTCCATCGTGTCCTATAATATATTGAAACTGAAATAACCTTAAGGCAGGCAATTTAAAGCCACCCCCCCCCAGTCTTGAAGAATTGCACCCACATGCTGACATGAAGAAGCAGTGGGGTCTCAGGGGTTCATTTGTAACGCCGAGAACAGCCACACTGCTGTCATAGGGATTGATGAACGTGCTACGGAAATTTTTTCTAATAAAATGCTTGGGATTTTTCTTTTCAACTGAAACTAAGGCTGACATGCAATCTGTGGTGAAGATTTTAGGTGAGACTTTGGGAGTGGAAATGGGCTTGGGGTGTCCTTAATGTCCACTGTGGATGGGGAGCTGGTTTCAAATTTTGAGTCTTGGAAGTTTGTAGCAAAGTCTCTAACTTCAACTTTCCCCTCCGGGACCCCACAGTTTAAATCTTGTAAACACTATTAAATACGGGGCTGGGGAGATGTTCAGTCAGTAAAGAACTGACTTGCAAGTATGAGGACCTGCGTTCCATCCCCAGAACCCATGTAGAAAAAAAAAAAAAAACGCCAAGCATAGGGTTGTGTGATTTTGTTTGTTTGTTTGTTTGTTTGTTTGTTTTCGAGACAAGGTTTCTCCGAGTAGCTTTAGAGCCTGTCCTGGAACTCGCTCTGTAGACCAGGCTGGCCTCAAACTCACAGAGATCCTCATGCCTCTGCCTCCCGAGTGCTGGGATTAAAGGTGTGCGCCACCACTGCCCAGAGGGGTGTGTGATTTTAATCCCAGTGCTGGGGAGATGGAGACAGGATTCCTGGGACTCACTGGCCAGCCATCCTGCACTCTTGGTGAGCTCCAGGCCAGTGAGAGATACTGTCTCAAACAACAAAGTGGACAGGTCCTCAGGATGACCTGAGGTTGTGCTGTGGACTACGCACATACCTAACTGCGCATACTCAAAACACCACTCAACAGCGTTGTCGTCTCTGGGAAAACATGTTGGGTTAAAACAGGAATTCTTGTCCTCAAATCTCATTGTCAGTAGACAGTTTTACCTTTTCTAGCACTTATGACCCAGAATAACTGGGGGTGGCAATCTAATTGGAAATTTTGATCCTTAAAAAAAAAAAAATCACATACTGCAGGCCTTGTTTATGGACAGCCTATATTTAAAAGACTCTGCACAGTAACCTTCTGTTCAAGCATCATTGCTGAGCTTATTTCACACCATGAGTGGGAGCCCAAGTGGTTTCGTTTCTCTGAATTCCACCAGAGGCTGGGAAAAGCCCCTCCCCCACACCACCATCCGGCTGTGTCCTGATGCCACCCTACCGGGTGACCGTCTCGCAAGATGCCTGGGGAGCTCAGATCAAGTGTACAGTCTCTCCCAGAAACCAGCTGTTGGGACTGCCTCCTAAGAAAACATCTGGGCAAATGCATGGAGAAAGGAGGTCACACCAGCCCCATTACTGTGGACCAAAAGCATTACAGACAGGGAAAAGCAGGGTCCAGCAACATGGTTCCAAGCAGGGGACAAATGGCAGATGGCGAGCATCCAGGATGGGAGCCATACCTTACCTGATTGCTGGAGGAAGGTGTTCCAGTTAAAGTTGGCATTTGGTATCGTTGCAATTCCTGGTGGAAGGAATATGAAAAAAAAAGAAAAGTGAAGTTTTGGTTCTTAGGAATCCATTCAACTTCCTGGGCACTACAATGGAGTTTCATGGGCCCCTCAGCAAAGAGACTGGGTGCATATATGAATGCCAGGGACGCCCCATCCTGCTGGACCGGCATCCCACTGGGCGGTACAGACTTGAGCTCTTTGAAGAGACTCTGGGAAAGTCTTCTAAAACATCCGCACTTACTCTACCACACTGGGTAAAGGCTCAGCTTCACCTCCAGTTCCTCAAATCACCATTCACTCTGTCATTTCCTCAGATGGATTTAAGTTAAACTTTTTGTTGTTGTTAAAAAAAACAAAAACAAAAACAAAAAAAAAACACATACATTTCAGCCAAGAGTGATGGCTCATGCCTGTAACCAACACCTAGGAAGCTGGAGGCAGGAGGATTGCATCAAATTCCAGTGGAAGCCTGGTGTACAGAAAAGGGCTCTGAAATAAGGGAGGCAGAGAGAGGAAGGTTGAAAGAGAGAACCAAGTTAGGTGGTGATAGTGCATGCCTTTAATCCTAGCTCTGGGGAGGCAGAGGCAGGTGGATCTCTGAGTTCGAGGCCAGCCTGGCCTACAGAGCCAGGGCTACAATGAGAAACCCTGTCTTGAGAAAAAGAAAAAAGAGAGAAAAAAAAGAAAAGAGAGGAGAACCGAGTCCTGAAAGTTGTCCTCTAACTTTCTCGTGTGTGCAGTGGTGTGTACATGAACACAGATGAGTGAAATAAATGCAATAAATTGTATATGTATTGCATATGCATTTTAATAAATTACACACACATATACATATATACATATATATATATATACACATATATGTATGTATGTATATTTAAAAATTCTTACCTTGACTCTGGACAAAGATCTTCCCAGTAGCATGTGGCTTTTGAAAGGGAAGGAAAAGGGGGGAAGGTTAGTTTGATGATCCAACCATTCTATGCTTTTTAGAGATCAAGATAATTAAATACCCCTTTGGAACCATCTCGAAGTCACCCACAAGGGCTTGTTAGGGGTACAGAGTTACTTCCACTCCTAAAGGGTTTTGTGTCTCTAAGAAAAACAAAGAAAGAAACTCCACTTAGTGCATCCTCAAGGGGGCTGTCAGCAGGAGAGTCTCTGAGGCACAGGAATGCAGCGGCGGCTGCCCAGGCCGAGGAGGATGGGGAAGTGGCATTCGGCCAAATGTTGTCCCTAACTGGAAAGGGGATATTCCTCATCCCTCAGGACCAAGGAGGAGGAGGAAGAAAAAAAGGAGAGAGGACTGGGAGAGAAAAGGAAAGGGGAGGAGGGAGAGATATGAGGTGGGGAGAGACCCAAAGAGCACAGTGGTGGCCAGTGAGAAGAACAGGGTGACCTCAAGACCTAGCAGTGCCCTCGGTGTTTCCGGAATCCAGGCAGAGGCAGGGTCCCTCTTCTGCTCCCTCCCTCCTTCTCTCCCCCTCCCCTCTGTTCTCTTCCTTCTCTTCTTCCCCCTTTGTGCCAAGATGCCAACTTCTCATTCTTTGTGGCGTTCCCTGGTGAAAGGGCACAAAGCCACTAGAGGGCAGAGAGTCCATGTCTCCAGGTCCTGGAGACAGGGGGCTAATAATCGTTAAATGATACATTTGAACACCGAGGTGGGAGCTGGAGAGGGGCAGGAAATCCTCTGTCCCGTGGCAGAGGGGACTCGAAGATGCCAATGGTTGTGGTCAAAACTATTTCCCTGGAGGAGAGCTGTGGGGACCAACACTGTGTAACTTTTTATCTTGTAACCTAAATATTCTGATGAAGGCAGGAAGGGACACCTGAAGCCGGAGGTCACCATTCCTGTCATGTGTGTACATACTACACACACACATACAGGCACACACATACAGGCACACACATACATATATGTTGGGGGGCACAGTGCCACTGGTAACAAAGCAAGGCCTTGGCACTGTAAGGGGTACACATACTGGTCCTCAAACTAATTTTCCAGTTTGGAGAACATGCGGTGGTGATACAGACCAGCCAGGCAGACATTCCGTGGAAAGATGGGGAGCCAGCCACAGGTGTGAAAAAGAGCAGCTTCCGTTCTAGAACACTGAGGTTCACTACAATTTAACACTTTGAGCCACTGGCCCACCAAAGCTTTCGCTGTCCCACTCAAGACACTGTACAGAGAATACGGGTATCCCTGAGGGGATCTCTTGAAATCCCAAGCCTTTAAAGAGGAAGTATTCAAAAAAAAATTGCTTCTCAGTTTGGCACAGTGGTGTCCTGTCTGTAATTTCATCACTTTGGATACTAAAAACAGGAGGGTCACCTCGGGTTTGAGGCCAGCCTGGGCTATAGCGAGACCCTGTCTCAAAGCAAAACAAAACACAATGAAAATCTCCTACTTAGAGAAGATAATAGAGACCTTTCACAAAACAAAAATAAAATGAGGAGCGGAGACAGGCAAGTTACCCTGTGGCACCCTAGCCCTCGCTAGCACATAAATGTGAAAATAATAACAAGCTCAAAGGTATGCTAGGTGAACCCACAGTGCAAGTCTTGGGGACTTGGTGCTTCAGAGCAGGGGCTTTCTCAAGACTGACCTTCCTGCCCACAACCTCCATGCCTGACTTGTCTCCATAGACCTGTGCCATGCCCTGGATCCCAGGCTTATGCCAGGATCCCAGGCCTCTCATCTTCAGGCTCAGAGCCTCTCCATATGGGATTCCATACGGAGGACCATATGTCTATCTCAGGCTGTTTGTTTAAGACGGGACCTCCTGCCCTGCGGTGGTGGTGCACTCCTTTAATTCCAGCACTCAGGAGGTAGAGCCAGGTGGATCTCTGTGAGTTCGAGGCCAGCCTGGGCTACAGAGTGAGTTCCAGGAAAGGTGCAAAGCTACACAGAGAAACCCTGTCTCAAAAAACCAAAAAAAAAAAGATGGGACCTCCTGTAGCATGGCAGAGGAGCACCAAGGTTTTGTGGAGCTGGGGATGGAACTCAGGGTTGAGCACGTGCTAAGGAGCATGCTACCTACCGAACTACATCCAAGCCCAGTTATAAACACCTTCCATGTCTCACTCGGGTATGTTTTCGTGGTGAAACCCCGCCTTGTTTTAACAGTGTTATTTTCTCTCCTTGCTTGGTAAGAGATTTTATACAACAAAGAGTAGGAGAAGGGTAAATAACCTCCCTGAGAAGTGCCAATCTGTGTGTGATCTGCACTAATACAACGTGTGAACATTGTGTGTATGGGTGGTGATTTCCTCTTAGCAATTCGTTACTGTTCTTCTAAAAAAGCTGCAATCAGGAGTCATTTTTGTAATTTCAAAACGAACGTGGAGCCCTGGATTCTGCATCCGCTACAAGAACATTTAATGTGGTTTCCACGTGCAGAAAGTATAATACCAAAAGATTAGCCTTTTTATTATATTAACCAAAGAACAGAAGGTCTTTTTGTAGCTGTGGTCTGGTCTTTCTTTTCCTTTGTCTTTTCCCTTATCTTGTGATGCCTACAGTCGGAGATCAAGTGCTATACCGCTGAGCCATGCCTCCACCCCTCATCAAGTACTGTGACAGCACCAAGCTAAGCCCCAGGCTCTCCTTGGTGGATTCTAGGCAGGTGCGCTACAGCTGAGCCCACCCCCGAACCTTGTCATCCCCTCTCTGCCCCCTTTTCCGCTTTATTCTATAAAAATGGGTCTCTTACAGAGACATGCCTATTTGGGAGCATGTGCCTAAAAGGATGCTGGCTTTTCATATCAAATAATTAGTCATATTAAGTAATAAGTCCTCACAGGTATTAAAATGGAATCTTAATATTCTCTCCCTTCCTCTTAAAATATCACATAAAGCCTTTTAGATTTTTCATTAGATCCCAGAGAAATAGCCCTGAGAGATGAGTGAACAGACACATTCACAAGTCTCCAGGTACGGCCATTTCTTCCCGCCACAGAGTTCACTTGGCAGCTTAATTAATTTTGGGTAGAAAGGGGGAACCGAAAGGGTCATCTTGACTTTTTACACTTGTATTAGAACGTGTATTTCTCATGAGAATCCTAGCAAGATTGTGCTGGGATTAGCCTGTCACTACACCCAACTTAATTACCTCTCTAGAAATAAAGGTGGAGAAAATGCAGGGTTAAGGTTTGAACTGGATTCTCTGCTTAAAAGCACATTTAAATACATTATCTCTGTGTACATACATATTATTATCTCCTTTTTAAAAGTGTGTGAGGAAGGGAGGGAGAGAGGGAGGGAGAGAGGGAGGGAGAGAGGGAAGGAGAGAGGGAGAGAGAGAGAGAGAGAGAGAGAGAGAGAGAGAGAGAGAGAGAGAGAGAGAGAGACTGCGCATGCAGTGCCCAAAGTCGCCAGAAGAGGGCATCAGATCTCCTGAGACTGGAGGTAGATGGTTGTAAGCTGCCACATGGGTATTGAGCCTGGAACCTCTGCAAGAGCAGCTAGTGCTCTTAACCACTGAGCCATCTCTGCAGCCTCCATATTCTCTCTTTTAAAGCCACAAAGTGTCAGGCACGGTGGTAGGGTAGTGGCTTCAAAACCTATCCCAGCACTCGGGAGGCAGAGGCAGGCCCTTCTCTTTGAGTTCAAGGTCAGCCTGTTCTACATAGTAAGCTCCAAGCTAACCAGGGCTACAGGGTGAGACACTACTTTGGAAAAAAAAAGGGGAGGGGGAGGAAGAAAAGAAACCACAAGAGCATTAGAAGCAGGTCCTGTAATCTTTCTAATCTGGGATTACTGATATTTGATCACACTTTGGTAATAATTAGGCAAGATTAACAAGGCTACAGCCTGAGTCAAGCCTGCCTCCAAAACAGAGAACATAAAATTAAAAACCAAAGCTGGCTTTTCCTCCGGGAAGATTAAGACTGCGCTGCTCAAAACACATTATCACCGTTCACAGTCCGTGAATCAAAGTCTCCCCTCCAAAATCAAAAAGAATTCTATAAATACAGCTGAGTCAGAAACCTTTATATTATTTATACATATTTGTACTTGAAAAAAAATCAAATCAAATAAAGGTATTGGGCTGAACTTTATTGGAAAATCCACCCACCAATCCTGTACAAAAATGTGTATTAAAAACAACTTTGCTTTCAAATTTAATAACTATCCCCCAGCCTTTAAGATATGAAAACAAGTTAGTCTCATCTTTTATTAGGTTTATGCCAGTATCTCCTACATCCTCATCCGAGACAAGGCCATCGAAGCTACCTCACAATGTTTTTCTTCCTTAGTGGGTCTTTTTATAATTTATAAGATTTATTTTTAATTATACGTACGTGTGAAGAGGTGTGTGTGTGTGTGTGTGTGTGTGTGTGTGTGTGTGTGTGTGTGTACATGAGTGCAGGTGCCCATGGAGGCCAGAAGAGGGCATCAGATCTCCTAGAGCTGGACTTACAGGCAGTTGTGAGCTAATTGTTGTTGGTGCTGGGATCTGAACTCAGGTCCTCTGAGAGAGCAGCATATGCTCTTCATTGCTAAGCCATCTTTGCAGTCCTCGTTTTTTTTAAATTTAAAAAGACTTGGCTTAGATTTATTTATTTTACTTTATGTGCATGACTGCTTTGCCTGTAGGGATGTATTTGTGCCACATGCATGCTTGAGGCCTGCAGGTGTCCTAAGAGGGCATGAGAGCCCCTGGAACTGGAGTTAAAGATGACTGTGAGCTGCCATGTGGGTGCTGGGAACCAAACCTGGGTTTTCTGGAAGTGGAGTAAGTGCTCTTAACCACTGAGCTGTCTCTCTAGCCGCTAGATGTCTGCTTGCTGGTTTGCTCAGATGCCTACTATTCTTGGAAGAGGACTGTCCAAGCACAGAGCTGGCTGACCCAGGGTAGTGTTTAAATATATTCAGTAGCATATACATATCTGAGGCAGGTGTGGTAGTACACGCTTTTAATCCCAGGACATGATAGGCAGAGGTGTGTGCTCTCTGTGAGTTCTGGGCTAGCCTCGTCTACATAGTGGACCACGGTTATACCCATACATTAGTACACCTCTCAATTCCCACAAAAGCATCTTTTTGCTGTAGATGGTAATGAACACAGAGACCCACAACTGGTCACAGTGCAGAGAATGAGAGTCTGTGGAATCCTCGGCCCTCAAGAGCACAGCTGTATCGCATTCCTTCTTCCCAAGGCTCAGGCATCATTGCAGAAGAGAGGGTGGGAAGACCGTAAGAGCCAGAGGCAGGGGAGAGGGGGTGACTATAAGAAAATAATGTTTTCTTACATAGCAGGGCAGTTGCCTATATTAACTCACAGCAGTTGAGACAATGTGCGTAAGACCCGTGCAAGCTAAAACCAGACAAGATCTCAGCTTGAGGACTGGAGAGATGGCTCAGTGGTTAAGAGCACTGGCTGCTGTTCCAGAGGACCCAGGTTCAAATCCCAGCATCCACATGGCAGCTCACAAACTGTCTGTAACTCCAGTTCTAGGGAGATCTGAGAGTCTCACACAGACATACATGCAAAGCACATAAAATAAAAATAAATGGAGGGGGAGAAAGGCACAAAGTCTCATCCTTAGCTGATGACTCCTAGGAGAGAAAGAGTCCATTTTCTTTTTGCATGTGGCCCCTGGTAGGTTGACCACACTTCATGGTAGTTCCCACATGAAAGAGTATATAGAGGGGCCAACTGGACTGAGGAGGTTTAAAAAACAAAAGAGAACACAAAGTTGTGTGGGTAGGAGAAAGAGTTGGGGGTATGAACATGCGCAATAACATTGTATGGGACTGGAGGGATGGCTCACTGGCTAAGAACACAGTTTTTTTTTTTAAGATGTATTTATTTATTTTATGTATATGAGTGTTCTATTGACTTTTTACCACCAGGGGGCATCAGATCCCACCATAGATGGCCGTGAGCCACCATGTGGTTGCTGGGAATTGAACTCAGGACCCCTGGAAGAGCAATTAGTACTCTTAATCACTGAGCCATCTCTCCAGCACATCAGACAGTAAGTTCTTGCAAAGGACCTGGGTTTGATTCCCAGCACCAACAAGATGGCTTACAGCTATCTGTAATTCTGGCTCCAGGAGGCTCAGGCACCAGACGAGCATGGAGTACACAGATATACATGCAGGAAAAAAAAATACACAAGATTTAATTTTAAAAAGTTTTTTCATACATTGTATGAAATTATCAAAGAATTAAAGAAAAATTACAAACATCGCTAAACTTTTTAGAGTAGCCACAGTGGAGAAAGGCAGCTCACAACTGTGCCATACCGCCACGGCCTAATAGACTTCTTCCCCGTCCCCAGGCCCCTCTAAAAAGACATCGGAAGAACACATACCCACTGCGCCTGTGCTGTGCCCTTCATTGCCTCTGTGAAAGCCACGGCAAACCTAGTCAATGGACAGAGATAACAGTCAATTAGGCTGGAATTCAATTAACACAACTCTGAAGCAGCACTTCCTAACGGCCCATGAGAGACGGACAGGACAAGGTTCCATCCACCGTCATTACTCCCGGTCACTGCCCATTAGGCCCCATCTCCACCCACACCAGAAAAAGTTGTGTGAGGGAAATAAACTCAACGAAGCTCAAAACCCCTTATTTCTCTTGTTCCTTTCAAATAACGCTAGAAAAAAAGCAGAGATTTGAAAAATTAAAGACTGGAGCTGGGGAGGTGGCTCAGTAGTTAACATTTACCACTCTTCCAGAAGACCTGGATTCAGTCCCCAGCAACCACGTGCATGCAGCGGCTCACAGACGCCTGTAACGAGCTCCAGGGGACCTGACACCCTCTTGGACACCCTGCATGCACACTAACATACATTTACATTTTAAAAAAAAAAAAATCAGAAGTCAGAAAACAAAACTCAGTAGGTGACATAGTTAATATGCTATGAGCACTCCAGGACAAGGGTCACGTGACACAGGAACTTGACCAGGGAATGCTGTGTGCGCTATAGTGCCTATATCTGCCCAGGATGCCTGCATGATAATGGAAATACCTACATCTTAAATCCACGGCGTGCACACACATACATTCAGGTTTATATATACAAATACATTAAAAAAAAATAGAAGAAAAAGTAAGTCCGAAGGGGCTCCAGCGCTAAGAAAATGGGGAACCCCTATTTAAGACTGTTTGCCAGGCCAGCAAAGATGGCTGAGCAGGAAGAGGCTTGCTGCCAAGCCTCATCACCAGAGTTTGATCACCTGGAATTTACCTGGTGGAAGGAAAAAAACCAGTTCCCACAAGTTTCTCCCTGACCCCCCACATGAGAGCTGTAGCACGGACACACACACACACACACACACACACACATACACACACACACACATAAATAAATAAATAAATAAATAAATAAATAAATAAATAAATAAATGTATTTAAAGAGATTGCCTTTGCCATGAAAAGAACATTAACAGATACCTTTTAACAGAATGGTATAGAACATTTCTTGCATAGGAATTGTATAAAGATGTTCTTTTTTTTTTTCTTTTTTTTTTAACCAAACCAGATGAGACACACCCACAACTGAGTTATCATGGCATCAGACAGATGGTAGCTTTAAGGATTAATTCTATGACAGTCACACAGAAAGATTTTAAGAATGATTTCAGAGTTGGGATATCTCTAAGTGTCCTGGTCACTCTTAATCACCATCCTGATAGGATATAGAATCATCTAAGAGACAGGTCTCTGGACATACCTATAAGAGAGTGTAATCAGAGGTGGAGCTTTCTGTCCCATATGCCTGATTATACCAGGCAGTCACTTCCCAAATTACCACACAGAGGTTTACATTAATTATAAATGCTTGGCCGTTAGCTCAGACTTATTACTAACTAGCTCATACAACTTAACTCATTTCTATTAACCCATGTACTATGCCAAGGCCCATAGCCTTTACCTCTATCCCATTTTGTATATGTGGCTTATTCTCTGTCTGGCTCGTGACTCCCATGACTCCGCCCTTCTTCTCCCTGTATCTCTATCTGGCTTTCCTGCCCAGCCTTATTCTGCCTGGCTATATATAGGCCAAATCAGCTTTTATTATCAACCAATGAGATCAACACCCATGCACAGCATACAGAAGGATCCTCCCACAGCAAGGGAGTATCTAGAGTAGGAACACAGAGGTGGGGAAACCCACCCTAACTGTGGGCAGCACCATGCTAAGGGGCTGGGGCCCTGGGCTGAAAAAAGGGGAGTGAGCTGGGCATCAGCGTCCATTGTTCTCTGCTTCCTGACTTGGGGACACTACATGACCAGCTGCCTCATATTCCTGCCACCATGCCTTCTGCACCAGGACGGACTGAGTGGTACCTTCAGACTATAAACCCTTCTTTATTTATTATTATTATTATTATTATTATTATTATTATTATTATTTTTGAGATGGGGGTTTCTCAGTGTAGACCTGGGCTGGCCTTGAACTTAGAGATAGATCCTCCTGCCTCTGCCTCTAGGGTGCTGAAATAAAAGGTGTGTACTGCCGCCACACCTATGTCCTTCCTTAAGTTGCCTTTGTCAAGGATTTTGTCACAGTAGTGACAAAAGTAACTGACAGAAACTGTCCTGGATAGTGTCATGTCATCCTGACACAAGCTAGAGTCGTCAGAGAGGAGGGGGCCTCAGTTGAGACAATGCGTCCATGAGACCCAGCAAGCCTGTGGGGCATTTTCTTAATTAGTGATGGATGTGAGAGGAAACAGCTCATTGTGGGTGGTGTCATGCCTGGGCTGGTGGTCCTGGGTTCTGTAAGAAAGCAGGCTGAGCAAGCCATGAGGAGCAAGCCAGTAAGCAGCACCCCTCCATGGCCTCTGCATCGGCTCCTGCCTCCAGGACCCTGCCCTGCTTAAGTTCCTGTCCTGACTTCCTTTGATGATGAACAGCCATATGGAAGTGTAAGCCAACTAATCCCTTTTTCCCCCAACTTGCTTCTTGGTCATGGTGTTTCATCACAGCAATAGAAACCCTGTGACTGGGACAGAATGCATGTCACTGAGTAGCAACCATTCCAGATAAAGTACGCGGAGCTGAGACTCGTATTCCACACTGACCCATATCCAGAGTACAATGGTTAAAACTGGATTGGCAATGAGGAGAAGAATGGGAGATTGCTGGGTGGTGGTGGCGCACGCCTTTAATCCCAGCACTCGGGAGGCAGAGCCAGGCGGATCTCTGTGAGTTCGAGGCCAGCCTGGGCTACCAAGTGAGTTCCAGGAAAGGCGCAAAGCTACACAGAGAAACCCTGTCTCGAAAAACCAAAAAAGAATGGGAGATCAAAAGGGACCGCAAGGCCAGGCGCTGACTCAAAACACATCCAAGAACTTCGTACAACACAATGGCGGCAGAGAATGGGTTAAATACACCAGAAAGGTTCCTACCTTCCTACGCAGGATATATCTGAAAAGACGTGATAATGGTAACAGACTGGGGCTGCCTTGGAGAGATGGCCTCAGAGGCTAAGAGCACTGGCTGCTCTTTCAGAGGACCTGAGTTCGATTCCCGGCACCTACATGGTGGCTTACAACCATCTCTATAACTCCAGTTCCAGATGATCTGACACCCTCTTCTGGCCTTTGAGAACATTGCACACACATGGTGCACAGACACACATGCAGGAAAACACCCAAACACATGAAATGAAAGTAAAGGAAAAGCATTTTTAAATAAACCATAACAAGTGATTAGTATTATTTTTCAAAAATATATCCAGAAGCAACATGATACCGATTTTCAGATACATTTCATTTAATTTTGATATTTATAATATAATTGCCAAGCACTTACTCTGTCATAATTCTTAGAAGCTATAAATCTAATCCAAAATTAAAATTGAATACTGCACTGCAATGGGATGAAAGTTTAAAATACTGAAAAAGTTCACACAACCCCTATAGGAAAAAATACACCAATTTAAAAAGTGTTTGATCAAAAATGAAATGCTCATTATAAAGCCAGACAAGGCCAATATCTCGGTTATAGAAACATGAGTTGTGTGGTGTCAGGCAAGAAATCCATGAATTGTGCTTCTCTCTTGCCCACTGGCCTCAATCAATACCCCCCCCAAAATTTAAAAAAAAAATCAATATTTGTTTTAATAACAATGCAATAAATAACCCTAAAGATAATACTGCAAAGATGGATTTGTTCAATAGTGTTTCTAGTAAACAGAATTACTTTTCTTCCATAGGACTGTGAAGACTGAACCATGTAAATAGAAAGGTAATATGTTTTTAGAATGTGCAAGAAGTAATAAGGAACATTCACTAATAGGTCACCTTTTTTTAAAGATGTGTGTGTGTGGGTGTGTGGGTGTGTGGGTGTGTGGGTAGGGGGCAGTGTTTGCACTGTGTGAGTGCAGTGCTCATAGAGACCAGAAGAGGGTGCTTATAGCCTGGAGCTTGAGTTATACTCCAGCTATATCAGGAACCACCTGATGTGGGTACATGGAAGAAAATTCAGGTCCTCTGCAAAAGCAGCTATTGCTTTTGTTATTGTTGTATTTGGGGTGTGTGTGTGTGTGTGTGTGTGTGTGTGTGTGTGTGTTCCAGACAGGGTTTCTCTGTGTGTTTTTGTTTTTGAAGATGTATTTATTTTGATTTTCTGTGTATGAGTGTGTTTCCCGTGTGTACGCATGTGCGCCACATTCACACACGGCCCACGCAGGTCAGAAGGTACTGGCCACGGCTAGTATCTGGGGCAGGGGCTCCCACACTATCCCCACAGAACTCATGAATGTGTCATCTTGGAGAAGCACCACCTGCAGGCAACAGAGCCATGCTCTTGGAGGCTCTCTGGTCCTGGATGGCTGGGAGTAATGTGTAAATGGAGGACTAAGTGCCAGGGTCCAGAATCCCCGCTGGCAACGGCACTCCGAAATGGTTTGCAGAACTCACAAGGCGACAGAGACAGGAGCCATACTGAATAATGAGTACCCATACTAAAGAATCGTTACAAAGATGACCCTTGGGTTGGAAAACCTTACTGAATAATGAGTACCCATACTAAAGAATGGCTACAAGGATGACCCTTGGGTTGGGAAACCTAGCACAAACCTGCTTTGTTCTTTTAAATCATCTACTCAGCCCTACACTGTGGCACATTCCTGTAGTCCCAGAACATGGAAGGTGAAGGCAAGAGCAGAGTTCAAGGTCAACCTCAGCTACCTATAGTAGTCAAGGCTAGCCTAGGCTACAAAAGACTCTCTCAGCATACACACACACACACACACACACACACACACACACACACACACACACAAACAAAAGCACATGCTAGCTGTCTTCCTACCACACAGAACCTTCTAGAATGTTCACGTGATATTACCATTAGGCCAGGTATGACTTACTTGGTTTACAACGAGAAATGGTAGCAAAATAAAACTATAGTGAAGGACAGTTTTGTTTGGTGGGCTTGTTGTTGTTCTGAGACAGGGAACTTGCTTATGTAGACCAGGCTAGCCTTAACTCTCAGATATCCACCTGCCTCTGTCTCCCAAGTTCTGGAATTAAAGGCATGAGCCATCACGCCTGGTAAGGGTCTTATGTTGATGGTGTGAATTTGCTTTCCCTGGTAGGATGAAGGCCCTCCCAAAGCAGAGCACCCCTGGCCTTACCTGGCTTCCTCCAGAACTTTCCCCATGACTTCATTTTTTTCTTTATGATGGGCATCTTCATTTAAATCCGTTCCACCAAAGATGACCCCGAAAGGAATGCCATGACCTGCAAAATGATGACAAGTGGGACAGACTGGACATCAGGAGGCGTCCCGTGACAACTGGCCCGCAGCCAGGAAGCAAAAAAGCAGGAGTTCCCATGACACAGGAGTGTGTGGCTTGTTTACTTGTCTGTTTTGAAAGAGAGTTCTATAGCCCAGGTTGGCCTGGAACTCTCAGTGTTCCTGCCCCAGCATTCCCAGGGCTAGAATTATAGGTGTGCACCGCCACTCCCAGATGTGTGTGTGTGTGTGTGTGTGTGTGTGTGTGTGTGAGATATGTGTGGGGGAATGCATTTGCCACAGTGCTAGGATGGAGGTCAGAGGACAACTTTGTGGAGTCAGTCCTCTCTGCCTTTATGTGTGTTCTGTGAGTTGAACTTAAGTGGCCTGGCTTTTGCCTTTACCTGGGGAATCATTTCACTGGCACAGTGCTGTTTTGGAGGCAGGTTGAACCTGAGCTTATTTCCCTGAAGATGACCCGGGACTCTTGATCCTCAGGCTTCCACCTAGGACGGGCCAGAGGGCTGCGATTTCCCACAAGCGCTGCCACACCCGGTTTATGTCCCTCTAGAGGTTGAAAACAAGGCTTTGCGCATGCTCAACAGACACTCCGCCAGCTGAGCTCCAGCCCCGGCCCCTAGGTGTGGGGTGTTTGGGTGTCAGTTTCATCCCGTTCAACTCTCCAGAGGGATAGCAGACATCGCTATTAGAAACCTGCACTGAGGGCCAGCGAGATGGTTGAGCAGACAAAGGCAAATGCCACCGTGCCTGACGCTCTGAGTGCCATCTCTGGGACCCACATGGTGGAAGGAGATAATCGACTCCTTTTAAGTTGTTCTCTAACTTTCACAAGTATCTCTCTCCAGCGCTACCACCATCCCCATAACCAGGCCCACCACCACCATGACCAGGCCCACCACTGTCGCGACCACGCCCACCACCGCCGCGACCACGCCCACCAACACCAACACCACTCCATACATACAAATAAATATATATACAAAGAAAAAAAATCATGCCAAGTCCCACCCATGGTCCTCGGAACTAGTTTTCAGATTAATTTGCTTTCAATTATATTCACAAAAAGTATCGTTCACCACCATCTGTCAAAGCCAAGCTCACCAATCCTGGGAAGAAATCAAAGAGCTCAGAGAAAACTGGTGACAGGAGAGAGCCCTGTTTATCATCCTCCCGCCGGCAGCTCGAGAAGCCTTGAGGGAGGGGCAGCGCTATATAGACACTGGTACCTGGAAGTCACCAGGCATGGCCCCTCCCTCATGATCACCAGCTTCTAAAGCCAGCCATTGAAACTGTGGGACTCTGAATAGGATCTGAGTGGCATCCCTGGCCCTGGATGCCAACACAACATTCTGAACTGAACTTCCCACGTAGACCTGGCTGGTCCAGAACTCAGAGATCTGCCTGCCTGCTTCTGCTTCTGGATTGCCCCATCACGTTCAGCCTAAAAGTATCTTTGAATTCAGTTCATCACATATGGGCTGTGGTGGCACATCACATGTCTTTAATCCCAGCACTCTCTCTGAGTCTCAGGCCAGACTAGTCTACATAGCCACAGAGTTCCAGGTTCAGGATCATGAGGGAGGGGCCATGCCGGGTGACTTCCAGATACCAGTGTCTATATAGCGCTGCCCCTTCCTCAAGGCGATATGGTGAGACCCTGTCTCAAAAACAAAAACAGTTCATCACGCACTGTGTCTGAGACAAAATATGGAAATAAGATGTCATCATTCAGGGCTGGAAAGATGGGTCGGTGGTTAAGAGTATCAGCCATTCTTCCAGAGGACCCAGGATTCCTAGCACCTATTTGCAATTCAGCAGTCTGTAGCTCCAGTTACAGGCGCACTGATGACCTCTTCTGGCATCCATCCACAGGCCCAGCGTGCACATGGTGTACAGACACACAGACCAAACACTCACACATAAAAATAATAATGGGGCTGGAGATGGTTCAGCGGCAAACAGCACTGCTGTTCTTGCAGAGGAGCCAGGTTTGATTCCTAGCACCCACATGACAGCTCACAGCTGTCTGTAACTCCAGTTCTAGGAGATCTAATACCTTCTTGTAGATTCTGTGGGCACCTGGGATACATGCGGTGCACATCTGTGCATGAATGCATTCATACACGTGAATTTTTTTTTTTTTTCAAGACAGGGTTCTCTGTGTAGTTTTGGTGCCTGTCCTGAATCTCACTCTGTAGACCAGGCTGGCCTTGAACTCACAGAGATGCACTTGACTCAGCCTCCCAAGTTCTGGGATTAAAGGCGTGTGCCACCACCACCTGGCTCACGTGAAAAATTTTTAATTAAAAAAAGTAACAAACATCTTTATAAAAAATATGTCTTCACTCCTGATTGCTGTGAGAGACCTGGCAAAGAGGGAGGATTTTTTTTTTTTTATCTTATTTCAGGTAAGAACAGAAAACTGAAGCTAGGTGGACTGCCTCACACTTGTGAGCCAAGGCAGGAAGATTGTCAGGAGCTCAACCCCAGCCTGGGCTACATAGTGAGTTCTAAGCTAGCCTGGGCTGTAAAATGTAAGGCCTTGTCTCAAAACTCTGAGTGTATTGGTGCCTTCTGTAACCTCAGCATTTGGGAAGAGGAGGAAAGAGGAGCAGCAGGTTAAGGTCAACCTTACCTACATTGTGAGTTCAAGGCCAGCCTGGGCTACATGACACCCTGTCTCAAAAACCTAAAACAACGATAAAAATGACAGACAATTGTGGGCCAGTGAGATGGCTCATCAAGTAAAGGTGCTTCCCACCAAGGCTGATGACCTGAGTTCGATTCTTGGGACTAGCATGGTAGGAGAGAACAGACACCACACAGTTGTCCCCTGACCCCCACATGCGTGCTGTGGCACACACACCCTACAAAATAGATCAATATAATTTAAAACTTAAAGACAACCAAACTATAAGACGTACATAATTTCGATTTTAAAAACAACACGAACTAACAAGCAATTATATGGGGGCAGGCATTTGAATTGGATCCATATGAGTCATGGGGTGTTATCATAGACCGGTTAATCTTGTTCTTGGCCACCTGACCCTATCTGCTTCCACATTAGGTTCCAGCCTAAGGCATATTCGTAAGACTTCATTAAAGCTCTGCAGCCAACATTGAATTAACTTGCAAGTTGTCTGTTTTATAGGCTAGTTAAAGCATATGAAGAGTTCTCAGAATGCACCCTGCGCAGTACCCCAGCTATGGTCTCTCTTAGATAAGGACAACTATAAAGTTCTGTCATTAAACACTTGAAAAATTGATTGATTTGTACACAGGAAAAAAAAATCTTTTACACTCATCCCCAGGAGGGAGGAATAAATCCCTTGAGTTAGTTCAGAGTTCCTCCCAACTCAGAAGCAAACAGAACTGTGACATCTTCATGTTTATTTGAAGCAGAGGTCAAGAGTGGTGGAATTAAGCACATAAATTAAAAGAACAAAAACAAGTTAGGTGGTGGTGGCACATGTCTTTAATCACAGCACTTAGGGGGCAGAGGCTGGTAGCTAGATCTCTGTGAGTTCAAGGCCAACCTGGCCTACAGAGTGAGTTCCAGGACAGCTAGAGCTACCCAGAGAAACCCTGTCTCAAAAAAACAGAACAAAATAAAACAAAAACAAAAAATCAAAACAACAACAACAAAAAAAAACAGCAAGTGGACCAGAGTGAGGTGCAGCAGGACCCGCCAGTCTCAGCTGAACTTCGATGGCAATTTTGTCAGTGCTGATCAAAACAAAAAACTGGCATAGCCCTTTGGCCTCCAGGCTAACCTAGGGGCTGGAAGCACAGACACTCACCTTGCCATCAAGAACATATAATTCTCCTGGTGTGGCGGCGCATGCCTTTTATCCCGGCACTTGAGAGGCAGAAGCAGGAGGATCTCTGTGATACCAGCCTGGCCTACATAGTGAATTTCAGAGCAGCCAAGGCTACCTAGTGAGACCCTGTCTCCAAACAATAACAACAGAAAGGTATGATCAAAGATGGGGCGGCACGCCATAGGGCCTAAATTTAAGGTTGTGAGCACAGAGGAGCCCTACAGTGTGATGCGGGTGGAGCCTGCCTAATCCAAAACTCCAAAATGGGGGGTGATCCCAAACTGGAAAGTCTCTGAGGACTGAAATGAGACCACAAGTGAAAAATTCCACTCCCAGCGTCATAGAGCAGGTCACTGTCACCGGAGAGGCACGTTGAAAATACGGGATGATATCATTTCAGAAGCTGAGGATGCCTCTTAGCTGGCTGAGTGCTTGCCACCCTGTCTGAGGTCCCGTGTTCATTCCCCAGCCCCACGTAACTTGACAATAACACGTGCCTGTCATCCCAGTACTTGGAAAGTGAAGCCAGAAGGATGAGAAAGTCAAGGGTATCCTCTGCTACATAGTACGTTCCAGCCTGGGCTACATGAGACTGCCTCAAATAACAAACAAACCTAAAGGAGTCTAGGACGTGTGTACAAGGGAATGAGGCACATAAATGAACTTTGTATTTTAACCTAGTATTCTCCAAATAGCTCACTACCCATGTGAAGAAACAGAATTGAAATGTAGAGAAGCAATTGAGAAAAAGACGCCAACCTCAGGCCTACACAGAGACCCGAATATACACCTGCCTGCTCATGTGTGCACCACACACACACATACACACACACAAAGAGAAAAAAAGTAAAGGATGGGTGATGTGTACGTGTGCCATCGTGGGAGGGAGTCCTCAGATCTATCAGGTGTCACGATCACGATGCAGAACATGTATGTGCATGCCCTCAGTTACGCCATGTACAGCCGGAGCTGTGCATGAATATATGTATGAGTGAGTGTTAGCCATGGCCAAACTCCAGGGTGGTCACCTCCTCATGCTGATGGCTCAGCTTAGCAGCTCCCACCTAGATGATGACAGGACACTACGAAATTCACTGGGAGACTTTAATTTTCATTTTTTTGAGTCCTTAAAAAACTTACTTTGTACTTGCCTAAGCTGGCCTCAAAATTGGAATCTTCCTGCCTTTACTTCCCGAGTGCCAGGACCTATAGGCACCTGCCCCTATGCCTGGCATGTTAGGTGATTTCAGAGCCTGAGTCATAGAAGGGAAAGTGGCTTCTAATTTTGTCTCCCTGGAATGTTGTTCTTTTTGGTTTTTTCGAGACAGCGTTTCTCTGTGTGTTTTTGGTGCCTGTCCTGGATCTCGCTCTGTAGACCAGGCTGGCCTCGAACTCACAAAGATCCACCTGGCTCTGCCTCCCGAGTGCTGGGATTAAAGGCATGTGCCACCACCACCACCCGGCTAGAATGTTCTTTACAAGAGAAGCTGGGCACTATGTCTAAAGCTACTTAAACTACCAGTGATGGTTCATTTTAACTGTCAACTTGACACAACCTAGAATTACCAGGAAGAGAATCTCAGTAAGGGTTTGTCTGAGTCAGATTGGCCTGTGGGCATGTCTGTGTGGAGATAGTCTTGGTTTAATTGATGTAGGAAGACCCAGACCACTGTAGGTGGTACCATTCCCTAGGCAGGGGATCCTGAGTGATATAAATATAGAACAGGGGCATTGGTAGGAAATGTGCGTGCATTCATTTCTCTTGACTTCGGATGTGATGTGACAGACTGCTTCAAGTTCCTGCCTTGACTTCCCCCTCAATGATGGACTGTAACCTGGAACTGTAAGCCCCCAAAAGCAAACCCTTTCTCTCTTAAAGTTGCACCTGTCAGGGTGTTTTATCATCGCAACAGGGAAGTAAACTGCAACACCCCACCCATGGAGAAGCCCAGGTAGGGAGGAAAGAGGCCTCCTAGCCACAGCTGAGTGAGTGAGCTGCCCTAGACACATGCTCTGACCAATGGCAACCACAGCTTTGTGAGAGACCCCATGCTGTGAATATGCGCAGGTACCACCACGGCTAGCCTCAGGCTGACACTCAGATATTTCTACGGTAACGATATCATCAATATCTACCTGTTCTGAAGTGGCAAGTTTACCAAATTTAGAAAACTTTGCTTAATATACATAATAAAATAAATGTTAAGAAAAAATAAAATTAAAAAAAAAAAGAAAAGAAAAAATGGAGACCTTGTATAAGCCTTCAGTTTGTCTTTGGGGAACAGGATACTACATCTGGTATTTTTCAGCATCCCCCACCCCCCATGTGACATTGAAAGCTTGAAAGGGGTGTACCTTGCAGAAGTCTGCCTCCTCGGTAGAGGTGAAGGGCCAGGGCTGCTTCCAGGTTCTCCGCCGCGATGAGCTTGGCAATTTCAGACGGGCTTTCAAAGTCAAAGGCGTCTCTCAGAACGCACATGTGGCCTGCGGCTTCTAGGTGGTCCCTTCATTTAAAAAAAAAAAAAAAAAAAAAAAGAGAGAGAGGGAAAAGTTGGAGTTGCCATTATGGTTAAGGCTTCCGAGACGGTCTGTAGGGAAAACACAAATGGGAGCTAAGGCGGTGACGGTCACCATCCATTCCGCAGCCTGCGAGACCTCGGACTGTGGCTGGGATCGAGGTCGATGTAATCAGAACGTTGGGACAAGCCACTCACCACCTTCAGTGGCATTGGACTACCTCAGAGCTCTGTCTGCCCTTCTCCAATTCCGCTGTGTCCTTTGCCCACCGTCCCTTCACTCTAGAGGGTGCCCAAAAGGCATCTTCTAGCTGCTGTCACTCAAATTTCTTTTAGATTCATTGATTTCATTTGAGGCTTCTGAGGGTTTTGCCTACCTGTGCGTCTGTGCACCACGTATAATGCCTGGTGCCTGCAGAGGCCAGAAGGTGTCAGATCCAGCAGAACTGGAGTTCTACATGATGGTGAGCTGCCGTGTGGGTACTACGAGCCAAATTCAGGCCCTCTGCAAGAGCCACCAATGATCGATCTTAACCACGGAGCCATCTCTCCAGCCCCTGTCACTCATTTCTTGAAGTGAGAAAGATTTTGAGGGGCAGGCATGATGGCTGCATGGTGTAAAGGCCCTCGCTGCCAGGCCCAACAACCTGATTTTGATCCCATTGCAATCCACGTGATGGAAGCCGAGAACCAACTGTCCCAAGTTGTCCTCTTACCTCCATATGTATGCCGTGGCATATGGCATGTGAGGTTTCTCCCGACACTTCCTGCTCTACATTTAATATATAAGTAAATCAATAAAGGTGATTTAAAACATTTTAAAGACTGTCCCCCAGTGTGGGCCCCCACCTTGAATCTCTAGAAATAGGAGCTCAGTGAAGCCTCTTTTCTTTATAACGTTACTCAGCCTCAGGTATTTTGTTACCGTAAGCAAGACTGGCCTAGCATGGGTCATCTGCTATCCAAACGCACTGTGGAAAAAAAAAAAAAAGAAATGCCTCAGGTAGAAGCAGCAGACGGAGTCCTCCAGTGCCACGCTCACTCTGGGGGATGGGGTGAGACTCATCCCCCGAGCTAACATCTCTTTGTATAAGGTAAATACACGGCCTGCTAATGGCACTGTGCAAAGAAAGTCAACTCTGGAGCTGGAGAGATGGCTTAGAGGTTAGAACACTGGCTCCTCTCTCAGAGAACGTAGGTTCAAATCCTAGCACCTATCTGTGGCTCACAACAGTCTGTAACCCCAGTTCCAGAGGGTCTTATATACCCTCTTCTGGACACCGTGGAAACTGCAAACACTCAATGCGTACATGTGTACTGAGCGTGTGTGTAAGTGCGTGTGTGCATGTGTGCAATAAATATTCTGAAAAAAAGAGTTCTAAAATAAATTCCACACATGGGTCTGAAGACTTAAGTGCTCCTAAAGTATATTGTATTTTTATTTTTATCCTTTTATTGATTTATGTATGTATTTATTTTCTAGTGTGGGAGATTCAACCTATGGCTTGGCACAAGCTAGGCGAGACTCAGTCATCATTGAATTACATACATTCCCAGAGCCTCACCAGGTTGCTAGGCTGGCCTTGAACTCACTCCATAGCCCAGGCAGACCTTGAACCTGCAGTCTTCCTGCCTCCGCCTCCCAAGTAGCTAGGATGACAAACCTATGAACTATGCCTAGCTCACGTTGTGTAAGTTGGCCGTACCATTTTCACTGTTCAATTTGACCGGTCATTGTAGGTCAATAGCACTGCCCTCCTCCCCCCCACACACACACACTCTACTCTCTGGGGAGTGTAGAAACACTGGGGGCCGCTGGCCAGCACTCCAGGAGGAAGCCTGCTCACTCTGCAGCTCTTGCTCACCTCAGCCTAAGAGTCAGAATGCTACGTGCTCATCTGAGCAGACGTGAGTAAGGACTATTCCATCTCCCGAAAGCCGTAGGAAATGAGAAGCTGTTGACAGAGGGCAAGGAGTATAACCTCTGCTGGAGAATGAGTGCCTGAGAGATCAATGACCTCTGCTGAGTCCATATGGAAGAAAGGGAAAGGGAGCCTTGTCATGGATAATGAGAGTCATGATAGCAAGTTGTTCTTCATCTACTAAACGTCCTTTAAACAGCACCGTGACACTCACTGCATGATCTCATAAACATTCTAAATTAAAAAAAATAATGTTTAATCTTAATGCGCTGTGGCTGTGGACTGAAATTTTACCCTGGTGGCTAGCTGACTTATCACACTTCTAAACTGCTTTGTCCTTATTCCTTCTGTCAGATAATGACTCAATTCAATAATAAAGTCACAAAGTACCTATTATGCCTAAGGAATTGTGTTTTTCTTTCCCAGCAAAAGGTTTTAAAGAAAGGAGTATATGAGAGAGAGAGAGAGAGAGAGAGAGAGACAGAGACAGAGAGAGAGAGAGAGAGAGAGAGAGAAACTTTAATAAATGGTTCATCATTTCCAGGAAGAGAGGGAACCAATTTACATATTCATGACTTAAGATTAGAAATCACTCCATCCACCTCAACCCAACAACATCCCTATATTTTTTTTAGATTTATTTATATGATTTTTTAAATTATGTCTATATGTGTGCACGTGTGCTATATGTGTGCACGTGTGCCATGTGTATGCAGTACCCACAGAGGCCAGAAGAGGACATCAGACTCACTGGAACTGTAGCTACAGGTGGTTGTGAGCCACGATGTGGATGCTGGGAACTAAACTCAGGTCCTCTACAAGAGCATTAAGCACTCTTAACCGCTGAGCCATCTCCACAGTCCCTACAAGTTAATTGCTTCTGTGTGTCATGGATGAGAATTTCCATAATCGACAATACCTGTGTTTACAAAAAAATACTAGCACAAGGAAATTAAAACCAGGCATGGAGCTACATACCCAATATCCCAGAACCTAGGAAACTGAGGCAAGAGAGTTTCTGTTAAGTTTGAGACTCATCTGGACTAAATAATGCCTTTCAGGATAGAGGAGACCATGGCACAAAACAATGACAAAAATAATGGACTGGGGTTGGGGATTTAGCTCAATGGTAGAGCGCTTGCTAGCAAGCGCAAGGCCCTGGGTTCGGTCCTCAGCTCTGAAACAAACAAACAAATAAATAAATAAATAAAGGACTAGGCACATATCTCAGCAGTAGAGCACTTGCCTAACATGCATAAGGCCCTGGAGTCTACCCCCTGAATTATGCACTTTCTTTTCTTTTCTTTTTTTTTTTTTTTTTTTTTTTTTTTTTTGGTTTTTCAAGACAGGGATTCTCCATGTAGTTTGGTGCCTGTCCTGGATCTTGCAAATGAGCCGGGCGGTGGTGGTGCACACCTTTAATCCCAGCACTCGGGAGGCAGAGCCAGGCAGATCTCTGTGAGCACTTTCTTTTTTTATATTTTAGATTTATTTCACATGTATGAGTATTTTGCCTGCACATGTGTATGTACACCTTACACATGCAGTGCCCTCAGAGGTCAGAAGAAGGCATTGGATCCTATGGAACTGGAATTACAGATGGTTCTTTGTCGACATGTGGGTGCTGGGAACTGAACCTGGGTCCTCTGCAAGAGCAACCAGTGCTCTTTGCCTCTGAGCCATCTCTCCAGCACCATGAATGATAGACTTTTAAAGGGTGGGATTTATGGTGTGGCAAAGGTGTCTTAGATGGACCAGGATGGGGCATTTCTACAAGGAGGCCTTCTCATCGGCTGCTGTAGCACATGTCACCTCCCTTTCCCAGGTTGTCATCACCCTGCACTTCTGTCAGAGGGTCACATATAACTAGGTAATGCTTTGTGCATTAACACGCCAGAACCTCCTTCGAACTGGCTATGCTTGGTTCTGACAGATCTGCACAGCTCTGGTTGCTTGGCTGCTGGCTTCAGGCATACAAGAGCTGCAGGGGTCAGCTCCGCTACATGAGGACCCACCTTGCCTTTGATACTCACTTGCCAAATGTCTAAATGCTGAGTGCCTTCCAACACCTGTTGCTTATGGCAGAAAGATAAGTCTCTTTCCCTGTGCTTCCCAAGCACTCATGATTTTCCTGAGTCCTTGTGTTGTGGTTTGGGTGTGAGATCTTCCCCCTGGAAATTCAAGAGTTGAAGGTGTGTGTGTGTGTGTGTGTGCAGGTGTAGTCTTTGGGTGGTGACTGACTCATGAAGGCACTAATGTTACTGATGGATCAATTTATGGATCATAGCTTATTGGGTTTGGAGGAGGGCCAAGCCCTCCTCACTCAGAGGTCTGAAACCTTCATCCAAAATTCTGCTTTCCTCTTCTGACCTCTCTCAGGAATTTTGTCACAGAGATTTTAGTACATTCCTCTAGAGCAGAAAACTTGAAAACTTCCCCCTATGGATTCTTCAAAAAGTTTTCCTACCCAGCCAGGCAGTGGTGGGGCGCGCCTTTAATCCCAGCACTCGGGAGGCAGAGGCAGGAGGATCTCTGTGAGTTCGAGGCCAGCCTGGTCTACAGAGCGAGTTCCAGGACAGGCACCAAAGCTACAGGGAGAAACCCTGTCTCAAAACAACCAAAAAGAAAAGAAGTTTTCCTACCCACAGGCCTGGCAATTGCAGCAGAACTCAGGAGGGAAGAGACAGAACTGTGGTGAGGAAAGGGAGGGTGATTCCTGGCTGCAGATGGTGTCTTCCCCAGGAGGCTTCAGATTTCTCCTTTCCCTAAGGTATCTAAGGTATCTCATCTCAAGGTTTGGCAAAAAAAAAGAAAACATGTTTGCTCACCAGCTTGCCCTGGGTGAGGTAAGAGCAGCTGCCACCCCCTGCACAAAGTCCACTTCTTCCCGTGACAATTCTGGTGCAACACTCTCTCCCCTATGCCAACCTGACCCTAATAGTGTTGTGCTCCTGAGAGCTGAGAGTACTCGGCACTTGGCAGCATTTCCCAGAAACCCTCAGGAGTGCCACAAACACTGTGCTCCGTGGGGATCTCAGGTGTGGGGCGAGTACTGCATGGCATGAT